GATGGGGTTGTGATACTGATTATCATGCAGCATAGTCCTATAGTATTTCTGACTTGCCAGGATGTCGGCTTTTGAATGCACTTCTTCTTGACCTCCTGCAAAAACCGCACTCGGTAAAAAGTACTACATGTGTAGCGTGCGTTTTTCCCATCGATTTTCGATAGTCTTCATATTTTATACCCTAAGAAAGCGTATATTTAGGTTTTAAAAATCTTTTCTAATTCCGGAATCGTTTTTAGCCTGGTCTGCCATTGCATCAGCGTTTAGCGATTTCAGTCTACAAGGTGTATGCTTTCCGCTTTCCCCTATGCCTTTAAGAATATACCACATAGAGTTCATAAAATTTCGTAATGGATCCGGACTGTGTTGCACATTTCATGAGGCGCACTGGTAAACGTACATGTGCGCTCCTGCATACATGGACATCGCACGGTTTCAAAAATCTCAATTAGAAACCTTTAGAACCTAAACATACACTCTCTTCGGGTATAAAATATGAAGACAATGTGATTTTCTACCAAAATAGCAAAGAAACCATGTTTTAGTGCATGTTTTCTATAGAATATACTCAAATTTATAAGAAAATCGAAAATCAGTAGGAGAAATGCATGCTGCATAAGGAGTTATTTTTTACCGAGTGTGGTTTCTGCGGGAGGTCAAAAGGTAGCGCATTCAAAAGATAACATCCTGGCAAATCTGAAATTCTACCGATCACATAGCGGGCTTTAAAACTGCAACCATGACCAATTGGGCGGAGAACGATTTATCTTAATAGGAATTGTTCGGGGTAGATAATTACCAGACAGAACCAGTATTTGTACAAAACTTCGTATTTACTTATTTAAACAGAAAAAGGAGAGCACATCAAATATTAAACACCACTGAAACAGTTTAGAATGTGTTGCAACTAGCATTCACACCGAAAGCTTATCTGCGTTGCTTTCCCCGCAAAATACGGATTGACATCTGAAACAGAGGTGTGGAGACAGCATAAGATTGCCCATACACATGCTCTGCCGAACCAGACCATTTGGCCTAATCATAACATGTGTTCTCAGTCGCAAATTATGGGCGTATTCAATGATGGGAACCGAGGCTCATCAATTGACTTTTACAGTGCTGCCAAGTGTTCATAAACATCAGAGTCAGCTTTCTGCCCTCATAACACTAGAAGAAACTTTTTTGCTTTACTGAGTCTCCAACTTGACTCTTTTTTGCACGTCAGAGTAATTCTGTTAGGCTGCTGTTTGGTGATAGGGACAGGACTGCCAGGATGCGCCAACCAAACCGCTGACGTCGTTGAATTTCTCCACTTCCTAGGAGTGATCTCTGACTGGGATGATGGTGACTGTTAGCAATCCCGTGGGAGCCTCATCGGCCAGTCCACACAAATTCAGCTCCAATGTTATTGTCGCATTCTGCATTCGCCGTTTTATTTGCCCGGCATCGTTTGCAATTGCAGCACCTAATGACCCAAAAACATTTCGAGCCCTGGCTGATACATGTCGGTCCGTTTTTCGCGTCCTGGTTTGTCTTCCTGGAGATAGGATCATTTTCTAGCCTCAGAGCTCATGTTTTTCACGGGTGGAAAGCTTTTATCGTCTTTCGTTATATCCCGCCTTTGGAAACCATGGATTCGTTTTCTGTAATTCTCGTTATATTGCCACTTCCAATGGGTCTTAAGCTTTGTCTTGTTAGACGTGTAAGTCACGACAGAAGAGATCAGGCAATTGTCTACAAACCAGGCCTGAAATCATTATGTAAATAAAGGTACGCAAATCTCGCAATCATTCTGTTGCCGGGACCATCACCAGTTAACGCACAAGCGCGAATGTTCGCGACCACTTCTCGAAGGAATGGGCAGGCTGCGATGTGATTGATGACGAAGTAAACGAAATGCAATAACTGAGGTAGCTGCTAACATCAGGGTATGTTCAACAAAATTTTCCGACCCTGGTAGAGGCCCTGAACAGTACAAAATCAAAAGAAGGAAAAATTAAAGGTCGTGAAAGTTAAAGGGACTTCAGATCTGGGGAACGACCATTCGCTCAAGACGAAGGAGGACTATACAACAATGCCGCAGGCCCTTCACTTACCAGTAATATCCTTGTAAAGTGAGTGATGAAAATATTAAGGGCTCGGTATTCGTCGACACCGTCTTAAGCAAATAGTGTCATCAGACAGCGGGGAGATATGGTGACGCCGACGTTACCGTGCTGCTTTCTTTGATAGTCGCCAACTGCTGAGGTGCCAAAAACCAATCGAGCCTCTATTAAAACAGTCACTATTTTTTGTCAGCTTCGCAACCAGTACTCTGCAACGGCAGATATTTACTATGGTAAAAGAATAATTGGATTCGTTAGGGAACGGTTTCCTTCTGATTGAAAATGTTGTAACCCTCTTTCCCGGTATGATTACAAAGAATAAGTCAGAAGGAAATAAAGAATGTAAGAATGACTTGATTTACAGCTACCTTATGTTGACTCATCCTGGTGGCGTCATTGAAAATCCCCCTACTAAACAAACATGCAGTTACTTCCTCAGTGGTTGGCAGGCTGACCCTAAAACGAGCCACGCGGTAGACGCCTTGGACCAACACGGGGGCCACATCGAATTCTTTTAGGGGTTATCGGGTAAGTACAACCCATTACAAGTGCCAGTATTCGCGATGCGGAGGTAGGCTCAGTTGCTAGCTCACGTCGCGCCGACTGGGATCGCTGCAGCCTCCTATCTTCGTTATTGGTTAAAATCCTGACCAAGTGTTTGTTGTGAACCAGGGGGTGTAGTAGCACGCCTTGGTGCGGGCCCGGCCGTGCCAGCCATCTGTGGCCTCTCCCACTTCAGGTCTTCTTGACTGTGTTTTGACACTGGGCCTGGGTGGGGGTGGAGGAGAGAGTGCGGTAGATGCTGCGAAAGTCTGCTGACATTGCAAACTAGTTCACACGGAAGTCGCTGTGCCTGCTCTCGCCCTGTTGTGAAGCATACGGTGGACGAACTGTCAGTTGGCGACTGCCGTTATAACGTGATCAGACTCTCCTAGTCGTGCGCGGTGCAAAATGCAGCTTTCTGTGGACGGTTGGTCATTTAACAACGAAAGCTGATACATGGGACATTTGTTTGAGGACAAACAAAGGCGCAGCTTAAAGTACCATAATGTCAAATATGTTTCAAAAGCAACTCTAAGGTTAACCATTCGGTACGATGCAGATCCTTTTTTTGCTCCTAGTTAGATAAATTTCTGTCGGCTGTTATGGTAATCTTTATCGACGTATTCAGTCTTACTGATCGAACCAACCAGCTTTCAGTGCTAAACCTTCCCGGCCTGTAGTTTGAAGCGAGGCCTTGTGCATGGGATTCAATGTTAACAAATGTTTTTTGTGCAGATAATGTCAACAGGACGACAAAGTAATGCACTTTTACGATAAAGTATCTTGTTAAACCGACCGTTTTGAACCCCAAAATGCAGAAAGGCCTGGGAGGATTCGTTAAAGACGATTTAAGAATAACACCACAGTGTTCCAAAGCCACAGCGCGGGTGATATGCAGAATTTTTGTGAACCGGAGGGTAAGATGCATGGGACATTTGTGCGGCTGCCTCCAGAGTTTGCGATACAGGCTTGACGGCCGTGGCTTTGGAAATACCGGTATTCTTGAAGGTGTGCCAAGACGTAATGCAAGAGTTGTTCGTGAACTCAGGCATTTGACGCATAAGCAGTGTCTGACCACCATAAGCTTCTCGCCCTTCTACCACAGACAGAGCAAAAAGGACCTCATAGTAATGTTTCAGTTGCTAAGAGGGTTTGGTCTTGGTGCGGAATGGGGAAAACTTTTCGAAATGGCACCAAAGACGAATCTTAGACAGCCTGATTTAAAACTTAAAAATGAACTGTGAAACATTAATTAGCGTCCCTCCTTTTTCTGGGAAGAGTTATTCGTATTTGGAATTCCTTACCGACGTACACCATGCTGCGCTTCGCCGGTAGTGTGCTTAAGAGGTGTTAGGGCACCCATCTATTAAATGTTGGCCGGAACTTCCCAAACTTTATTTAGTGAGACAATGTCATAATAACAAACATACTCCTAACATGCTCTCAATAGCTCATTATTCGTACCAATTTTAATACTCTACTGAACGTGTTGTGTGCAAATGATGTGAATAAATTGCCTGCTTTTATTTCACAAATTCTCCACCTTCTTAACACTCCTGTTTCAACATTCGCCTAGTGGGGTTCGTTTGCTAAAAATTGCATGTAGACCATTTGAAATTTTATTGCTTTCCATCCAGCCGCGTGCCACTTATAGGGAGCTTCTCCAAGGGCTTCTCCAATTTACACCATATACATTGACTGGCTTATTGAGTCTCAGATGAAGTTGGTAAATTTAAGTGGCCATTTGACGACGGAGAACTGTAAAAATCCCTTATTGTCTAAATTACCTCGTCTTTAACCTTAAATGTCACTTAGAATGAACAGTTTGGTCTCAGTGTGTACTACATATTTCACTTTATTGCAGAAATGCCGCCAATTATTGTCACGTGTGTACTTTTAACCTGTTTAAGGGTCTTTTTGTCTATCGAAAGTATACGTACGGTGAGCTGTGTTTGTTTTCACTAGGGACCGCATCAAAACCATTGCTATTAAGGGGCTTAAGACAATGATTTCTTTGATACTAAGTTTATTTCACGTTGGAGGTAGGTCTACAAATAGTAGAGCTAGCCAAGATTGCGGCCGTTTCATAGTTATTTGTTCTTTTTCGGTTTGTCGGATTCTCCGATCACTATAGCTTATTGGAAAGAAAATGAGTAAGTCCGAAGCAGCTAAGTTCTCTGCCCTCCCTAGGTAGTCGTTTGACCGCTAGGTCTAACAGCAGATAGAGAGGTTAATTTGCTCCGAGAAGCCAAGCATATCTGTCTACGGTCATTCCCAATAAGTAGCGTATAAAACTATTTTATTTATTTTTAGGTCATTCAATCCTTCTCCGTACTTCTTTTACCCCGGGTAATGTCCCAAGAGCTCGCTCTGCGTGGCGATTCAAGTGTACCCCAAGAATTAATTAAATGCCGTTCTGCAATTGATGGTAGGTTGTTTGACCACAATTATGTGCTCTCTGCGAAGGGGCGCTGGAGAGATATCCACACGAAGTGAGGTTGGCGATGGAAAAGTTTGAAAAGGCAGCCCTGCACATGGTCAGTCTACCGAAACAGAACTTCACAACTTCCCCTGTCGGTATTCGTGCTTGATATTCATCTCTTCTTGCTCTACCGAAAGATCTTCCGACAAAGATTCCCGAAAAATTCTTTAAATTAAAAGATGCAAGAACAAGAGCTCTGGATTTTACAGAACAGTCTGTTAATCGATATTGGATCATATTATATTGGTAGAGAGTGGGTTAGCGAGGAAGACTACGTTACTGCCGGCATCCTGTTTCCATCTGCGTAAGTCACTTTACAGACTTACCTACTGCATCTAGTAAGCCACTGTCGCGGGCTGAGGTAAAGCAGCTTCAGGTCGTCTTCGACACTCTGATGAACGATCTTGGTAAATTTGGTTTAACTAGCCGGAATGAAGCCCTAAGCCTGGACCAACTGTCTGACTACGCGAACAATATCATGGGATTGCATGCCTCCACTGACATCATTTTTGAGGAATTGCGCAGACAGGTAAATGAATCGCTTGTCGCAGATTGCATATGTGTGCGTGCTCGCACTTTTCACCTAGGCTCTTGCCAGATCTCAGAGAAAGTTTAAAGATTTGACAAAAGTGAAGAACATCTACCAGAACATGTTGAAAACATTGGCCAGTTGTGTGACAGAGTAGGTCGAATTTGGCATTCATCTCGGCTCGCCTTTTCAGGTTTGGCTCTTGTTGGCAGACGGAAAGGGAGAAGACACGTTCAGTGGCTCTCCAGGTCCTGAAACGCCAAACACAACTGGAGTACGTTGTCAGGTAGGAGTCAGCTCGAGATTTTTTTATCCAGGACAGAGAGCTGACACATTCTGAAAGCCTTATAGCACAGATTGCACGCGCAGCCGAGGAGAAGAGCAAAACGGTGGATCAGTGAACTTTTATCTGAACTTCTGAATGTCTTCTTTTTCTAGCTAAAAGAGGAAGTTTTTGTAGACGAACTAGAGAACGATCATTTAGTTCGGTTGCACTCCCTCTATCGCGCTCGCGAGGAAAGGGTCAACGCCGAGACCCAAGCCTCAACACGAAAACTGCAAAAGTATTTTACGGGACTTCTTTCCATGGCTGGGCGAGTAAGTTGTTATTCGCTTTTTGACTAACCGGTGAAGCAGTCGATCTTTCCATCAGGTAATGCATGCTTTTCATTGTGATTGCAGCTCTCCTCCGAAAATTGTGTAACTGCCGTGAATAAAGTGCTCAACACACGACTAGCCTGGAGCTTCCGTTGGAAGGACCTTCAATCTTTGAGCCAATCGCTTACCAGTCTGCATCTGGCGAAACTGGTAATAGACACGGAATCGATTTTTACAACACTGGAATTGATTCAAGTTCAAATGGAAAAAGTCGTGAACTACATACTAAATTCTGTTGTGACCTTGAGGAATTTACAAAGAACCCAAATGCGGTAGGTTGCCGCACTTACCTACTTGAAATCTGTGCAACACAAAAGAGACGATGAGTGGTCGTTTTTGGGAATTTTGACAACAGAACGAATCATTCGGAACGGCCACTAATAGATCACACTTTCCAGCCCATATTAAAACCCATAAGGTCACCCTGGGCAATTTCTGGGCAATATGGACGCCGTATGACGAGCATGAAACACCGAAACCAGCCTTTAAATGTTTCCAAGTGTATTGGGATAAGGAGACCAGAGGTATAGCGGAGAAGAGCAGGCCATTGTGCGGGTACCAGTTTGTGGTTTGTTATGACTCAGAGTGTCGGCGCATATTTAAAATGGTGGAAATTCAAAGACGTGAACATATTCTTTGTTGCTCTGCCGCAGTCTGCCCTGAAGTTATTACGCCACCTGTTTTTGACTGCATTTTGGCCAATTTTCGTTGGCCGGTCAGATTTTTTGCATGAGGGATAAAAAGAAAACATTAATGTGGGCGAGGTTTTTTCACAAAATAATAATATGAAATGAGGATTAAACGATGTATAGTCCACATTTACTTGGTCACCTAATGTGCTGATGTTCCGTCGTATCTGGACTGGAAATTCGACATAATCCAAGTGGTGCCTTTAGGTTGTAGTGGTCCTCATCCTAAACGAACAGGGTGGCGATACCTCAGTGAGTAGGAATCGCGAGTTCATTTGTCCTCAAATTCGACGAAGTTTAGTCGTTTTTGCTTTCTATGAATGCTCAGAGGGGCGCAACTGCAGATTTTGAGTGAGGCGAGAGTTCTGTTTGGCCTGCAGCGGGTCTAAGCAGTAGATAAATCGTACAACGCCCGAAGAAATCGAAGCCATGGTGGACAATTACGTTGCGGTTCGTTAAAATTATTACTTCAGTTCAGTGTATTTGAAGGAAAGTTGGTATGTACTTTTGAAATACCTATTGGTCACGCACAGAGGAAGTATATGGAGAAAGTGGGAGGGAAGTAACATGAAAGAAATACAAGGGGAATATCAAGAACAGTACAGATGAATGCAGTATTTCATACGCTAAAAGTATTTAAAGGCATATGAACTCGGCTTGTTGATCAAATACATCAGGTAGTTGAAACACACCTAAGATACAGGAAAAGTAGTAAAAATGTCAGTCTGCAAGCATCTTGGTGAATGCGAGCAGCGGTGCGCGATGTGGTTCAAAAGGCAATAAATTACATAAATAGACGTTACTTAAATATCGGTAGTAGCCTAGGCATATCACTAGAATGCCAATGTTGGCTATCAAGAGGGCTGCAGTCCTAAAAGAAAAGAACCGGGAGTAGCATGAATTGTACACCTCAGGCGCAAGGAGCAGTAGTATGCGGGGTTCTGCGTTAAGCAGTAGCCTACTCGGTATCAGGTAGGATTTGGCGCTGGAGTTTCCCCAGACTAAAATCCACAGGACACCGAGGACTCCACTGTTATTAGCCTATCGGAGGCTTCGACGAATACCGCAATTGGCGAAATGTCACAAATCACGGCGGATGTGGTAGGCCGAGGATCACGTCGCTTACACACATCACTGCCACAAGGTGGCCTTCTCCGATCAAAATAAATTTTAGTTGGATGGTGGGGACAGTTGGAAGTATTGCACACATGCCCTACGCAAAGACTTATATACCCACAATCGACGATCATGGGGGTAACAGTGAAATTGCCTTGGGGAGCTTTTGTTTCGCGCGCAAAATTGAGAGGATGTTTTTTACATAAAAATGAAATGCTCAGTCATACATTCAAACACCCTCTGCCTAACAACTGACCTTTGTGAATCATTACAACGGCGGTCTTATAGTGGTTGGGCAAGACAACTGTGGTATGCATAAGACCCAAAGAGCGAAACAGTGGCTGAAAAACCGCTGAATTATAGTAATGGCCTAGTCATCAACGAGCCCGATATTAACACCATTGAGCAGCATTTGCGACTGCTCTTTAGGCGCTCAAATTGCAGCAGTTAAACTTGCCAGTCGAATGATCAACTGTAAGAAACTACTCAGTAAACACGAAATGCTCTGAGTGAATCATGACTTGAAGGTTTTCTCGATATCCGGGATAAACCTGCTTGTTCCAAAAGCCGGTATCTTAACGTGGCTGAGATATCTTGGGATTATGCTGCACGAGAATTAATATTGCAACTTCACCAAAGTAATCCTTTCTAAACCAAAGCACATTTCAGAATTCCGATTAACATTTCATGAGCTAGGCCATATACTGTAGGTTTCCTGCCTTTATGTTATCCTGTCATGAGCAAAATTATGCTTATAACCAAACTTTCACAAGTGTCGGACTTTACAATGTCTTTCGTCAAAAGGGATCAAAATCTGCTTTTCAAATTGGCAAGTTTTAATAATTAGGCTGCATTCCACCCCTCACTCGTCTGAAAAGAATTCGTAAAGCAGGCTGAACATCAAGAGAATATACAAGTTTAAGGAAATAAATACCTTTTTAAAATGAAACTTATGGACTGCAATATGAAAAAGGCTGAAATCCGACACTGCGCTTCTTCACTCACTTCTCAGATTGATTAAAATTTCCCGTGTTATGCTTTTCACTTACAGGGAAGACGCTAATGATGAAGCGACAGGCAGGAGCAGCGAGACAAATGTGAAGGCTATAAAGATAGCCCTTGAGGTGAGATCTTAAATTTTAATATTTTTGTACATGTAATGCTGGGCAGGCGTTCTAAAAATGATAATTTAAATGACGATTTCTCCGGGGATAACTTTATTCGGTTTACGGGTTCCCTTTCCATAACTCATTTTCCGGCGAACTGTTAATGAACGATATTTCTAATGTTTGATAATCTAGTATGAAAGACTAAACTAGTCAGGTTTGCGTCGGTACGTATACTCCGACGCAAATACCCAACTTGCAGTCGAATCTGTCTTCCCATATTTGACTTTGCTAATTTTGCACGCGGCACGCAAATCCATCTGACTATTGATGTTGGAACTACCCAAATGCACTTACACTGTGTACTCACTGATCTTCTTCAACCCGTGGCCGCCAAGGAATTGCGTTCTTGTCCGATAGAAGTATTTGACCGACTAGAGGTATGTCTGGTCAATAAGGAGAAGGGAGTCCATATCCTACTCGTTCATTGTTTTCCGCAAATACTTATAGGGACGGAGTTTTCTACCTGATCATGGTAGATTATTTTACATTCAAGGCACCATATTTCTAGACATTATTCCCTAGGCAAACGGCCTGCACTGCTTTTAGGGAGGAAGCACGTTGGATGCTTAGAGTAGTCTTCAGCCTGTCAGTTAAATATCCTTGAAGATTTCTCTGGGTTCGCCAGATGGTTTAACTAGGTGCATGCCTTTTCGTACGATCGGAATTGCATTCTGGCGCTTTGAACTGCATCGCATTATACACCAGTGTTATAAGGAAACATCTCGATAAAGTGGCATGCAAACTTTTGCTGGTAGGGTAAAAACTTTTACATCGAACTGTCGGATTTTGGTTGTAGCTCTGTTTATGAGAGGTTAGACGGCAACTTTAGAGGGGCAGAACAAATAAAATAGATGGAAACTGACCAGGAAGGTTTCCTTAATTTTCGCCTCGTGTGCGAACCCGACGTCAAGGTTTGAATGTTCATCGGACGTCTCGATTTCACTCTTTTTCAAAGACTAACATGATTCTAACAATTTATTCTACTTAGCACTTCAGGAATTTTTATGTTAAATGATTGGAGACTGGGAATCCGACGTCAACCATTGCTGTTTCAGCGGTACACTTGGAAGTAGACGACCCCACAGAGGGTGTCTTTGTTGTTTCAAGGATGACATTTTAGGTTTTAGGCCAATTATTATCGAATGCAAGTGGAGTATTAGCGTAGCGAAATCACCCTGGCCTAATTTATCCTGATATACAGGGTTAGAATCAATGAGAAGGCTGACATCGCATAGGTCAAATATTTCGTTTTACGCAACTGTATTTTACATTTTCGACTAAGTTATATTAAGCTCGTTGACATCAGAGCCTTTGTGAGACTATAATATATTTCGTATCTTTGTAGAAGACTTAAAAAACAATTGGAGTCGGTGGAGCACGTAGTCACTGGGTAACCAGCAGCACATTGCGATAGTTAGTTGAACTCTTTCCGAAGTTTGGTATCATTTTAATAGGACAATTTTCAGTCGTGAATGTATTTCAGCATCCTGGCAACGTTGGCACGGTGGTTTTATTTACCCCGAAATCAGAATTTTGTGGATAAATTCATGTTCTGATCCCGGTTATCTCACTTTGTTCTTTGAAATTCTGATCAAAACTTCTAAATTTGTTTTCGATGAGGAAAAATCAGCTAAACGGGGTTGCAATATTCATAAGCGTGTTGTCTAAACTATAGATATTTCGGTTGGGTCAGAATTCTGGCTTCTGAGTACGCTTCTCTACAGTTGCCTGACAAACCCGCACGGTAAATGATTAAATAAGTAGTAAGGGTGCTTTCGTCGGTTTTCGATGTCAAATAAGATTCAGATATTGTTAAAAAATCACATGCACAAAAATATTCCTTCTTGCACATTTTGGTAACAAATTACATCCTCTTGAAATTTTATACTTGGAAAAAGAGTACCTTTAGGTACTTAAGAACCTTTTCATTTCCCGTATAATTCTGAACTCAGCCTGCAGTTAAACTTGCGTTTAGGGCTTCCAGACTGCATGCTGATTAATTTTAGCGTAAGGAAAATCATACTTTTTCAGCGCCATCAAGATGCCTTGTAATGCCGAGGACATTTTGCGATAGGCGTTGACCATGTTAGAAAATTCAAAGGCAGCATTGATAAATGGACAGATACGATGACAGCAGAGGGGAGACGACAGAGTCTGGGGGTAGATTGATACAGCACTGTTTCGGGCTTGTTTACCTTCATTCAGCCAATCATAACCCTGACCACCAGCTGGTACCGGAAACACAAACATGCGCACAGACGCACCTGGCGCAGCTGGTCCACCACTGGGGTCTACCAGATGGGTCATAAGCACTTCATCGAACCGAAGTTCATCAGTGCCTCGCCACCTGCCATCCTCTGTCGCTGCAGATCGGGTATTTATTCAGTCAGGAATGGGCGCACACCGATCCATTGGCTTCCCGAAGCAGACAAGCTTCGTATGGGCGATAGGGGTCACGAACAGGCAACCACCTACCAGGCCGAAGTCGGCCAAGCTATGATAGCAGAGATACGATGATGTACGAATTGAAATTTCACGGCCCTAAAACATTTCATAGACACATTTTTTAAAAAAATCGACATAAATCCTTTTCCCGAGCAATAAAATCTGGAGAAATGGTTAATTCCTGCCAAATAAACGAAAAAGACAATATTATTTTGTATTTTTAATGCAAAATATGTTTGCATTTCTAATTGCATCGAAAATCAATGGGAAAGATCAGTCCTAATTAAGTGGTCACTTTTTGTTGAGTGCGGTTTTTTAGGCGGCCGGGAAGAAACTCACTCAAAAACTGACGTCCTGTCGTAGCTGAAATATCTTTGAATTAGGCTGCACAAGGAGTGATATTACAACCCCACCTAAGTAGTTCTTTAGAGTCAATAGTGCATTTCAGAATTTAGGTTACAATTTCATGAGATACGTCATCTGTTGTATGTTGAGGGTAGCGAAGCCACTCTAGTTGGGTGGACTCCTGAGCAGCTAACGAGAACTTTCCAAGTGGATTTTCAGTAACCAAAAAATAAAAGTAAAGAACCGCTGACCTTTTTGATATCTATCAATCGAAATCACCAACAGTCACTTGACTTCGAACTCACAGAGTAAAATTTCGATATATCTTTTTCTTGGTAAGAAAGACCTTGTCCGAACGATATGGAGATTTTGAGAGGGAAAAAGTTTTTATCCGAGAAAGATCAGAATCTCCGCATAAATAAATCGAAAAATGCTGTGTCGCCTTTAAATAGAAACAAATATTTGTGTTACATTTAAAGTCCACAGAAGCAACTCGTTTTGAAAGAGGTTAGGCAGTTGGGAAAGGTTTTAATTTTGCAGTTCAGGGCCTCAGTAGGCGTGAAGCCGGACGAGGATGGGAATAAAAGGGAGTCTTCTTTAAGGATGACAAGGCTTCGCTGAAATCGCATTATGGTGGAATTATTATCTTCCACCGGAGGCTGGGGGAGGGGGGGAGCAGGCGGCTGGCACGGCTGGACCCGCACCTAGACGTACCACCACACCCCCTGGTCCATAATAAACACTTGCTCAGGATTTTAACCAACAGGAAAATAAACGGGCCAGAGAGAGAGGAGAGGATGAAAAAAAGTCACTGGGCAACCATGCACACGGCCTGTATACCCAGCGGGAGCGCAAGCGCGTCTACCAGCAGGGATCAAGATGCCAAAGAACTGCCAGTGCAGACCAGGCTGCGAGGGCCATGGTTTGCCGAACCACAATAGCAGACTATATAGCAGACGCACACAATCCTTAAAGATATACGTATGTGGGTAAATATGCATATGCATAAATGGGCCACAATGGGTCATAACGGGGATAAAAACGGCAAAGGGGAAGCTAAAGGAAGGAATAAGCAATGAGAAAAAAACATTCTTACTCAAATAATTTGTATCTGTTAACTTGCAACTCGACATGCCGGACACGTGGAGATGAGTTGGGGCCCAACACTGGGAGACTGAAATGATAATATCGCATTTAGAGAGATTTCAAATGAGACCACATTAGGGAAACGAAACATGCTGGTAACACATCATTTTGGATTCTACTCATTAACACCGAAATTAGAGAACGTGAATTTGCATCTACGTACAAACTTTTGACGATGAAAACTCCCCCAAAATCTTCTGTTTTTGTGTTCACCTATGTATTTGGCTGCAGTCTGTCTACTCCCTAGAGTTCTAACTCACTGAGCCTCAGTGTGTAGCACGATTTTATGCGACGATCCAAATGCAATGCTACCTCTGTCTTCTCTTCACAGTGCGAACGACAGCTCTTGGTCTGCTTTAAGATTGACACAAACCACGTCCTTCAGGCCATCGGTTCCCCATTGGAAGCAGTCTTCTCGACATCCGCTGTGGACAGCATTTACGCAAACACGTCCGTCACCCAGGCCTCCATTTACCAGCATCTGGAACAGAGCGGTCAACGAACATTTGGAGCCGAACTGTTGCTGGAAGAAGTAAAACTAGTTACCTTGCAATGTACGGCAGTTCTGAAAAGAATAAACAGTCTGGTTGGCGTAGATGTACAAGATTTGACGGCGGATGCTGGACTGGAGTTTACATCGGAGCCGGTTTCAGACGAAGAACAACAGCTACACCGAGAACCAACTACGCTTGAGGCGTATTCATTGGTAGGGAATGGGCAAACTTACTTCGAATCCTGTATTCGTTATTCATTTGCGATGACCGCTCACCGACCTTCTACCATATAACTTTATAGTAACGTTTTTGGTTAAGCAAAAGTCATGACTTCGACAACCGGATAAGTTAGAAGGGCCATTCCGTCGTCAACCAGCCCTCTCTTAGGTTCGGGTCAGATAAGCTCAAAATTAAGTCATAACCCAGTCATTCCTGAAGCTGAATACGTGGCTATTTTGGTTAACGGTCCTTGCTGTTTTAGCTAGAGGCATTGATGACGACCTGGGAAGGGTAGAAGCAAAGAGGCGAGTTCCAGGCAGCAGTTCACAAGGAGGTGCGATCATTGGGACAAGGAGTTTATTCGCCTGACGATCAGTATTCACTCTCGAAACCATCATCAATGATTATAAACACGCAAGGGGCGCAGCATTTACGGGACGCAGTTGTCATGTAACCATATTCTTGTATGATTAGCACGAGTACTAGCTTAAAGTCCAGACACGTGCTTCGCCAATATTCTTCCACCGCATGACACAACCGCGAAGGGTTCGGCCCATCAGTGGGCCTCCCAGCGGCTCCGTGCGCCATCGTGTGTCGACATTCTGGTGCCCAGGCACCATGAGGTGCCCGGACAACCGTGGAGGGGCGAGATTGCTCCCGATGACTGGGGCTCGGGCATCTTTGTACCTATCCTCAAGAAGGGAGAAAAGACGAGGTGTAAAACTACCACTGCATAAGCTCCATCGGCGTTGCTACAAAGATCTTCACCGCTGTCCTTCTTAGGCGATTCCAGGTTTTTCGGGACTCTAGAATGAGGCCCAACCAAGCTGGACTCCGTACTGGACGTGGATATACGGACCAGGTATTAACACTTAGGCGCACTCCCGAATTCCACAATCTCTACCAACGACCGTCGGCCGTCTGTTTTGTCGACTTTGCTGCCGCGTTCGATTCCGTCCATCGTGAATCCCTGTGGAAGATAATGGCCCTAGATAGTGTACCGCCACAAATCACTGTCATGATCAAGCCCTATTACCACTCCTCCACTGCACGAGTTCTGGCACATAACAATCTTTCCTAACCGTTCGGTATTCGATTTTGTGCTCGACAAGGCTATATCCTGCCGCCAATTCTGTTCAAATGCGCTATTAAATGGGTTCTCGGGAGGACCCTATAAGAAGATGACGGCGTTGAGCTTGCACCCAGACACCAGCTGACTGATCTCAAATATGATGATGACAATATCGCCTTACTAGCTTCCACTTTTGATGTTCTGCAGTCCATGGTATGATGGGTGAACGATGTCGCTAAATCGGTCAGCTTATCCACAAACACTGGGAAGACCGAAGTGACTTCAGGCTGCATCCCTGACCAGAAGGCACCTCTCGGGATTGATGACGGTCGACTTACAAAAGTAGACTGTTTTATATATCTCGGGGCGAGGTTGCAGTCGAATGGACAGATTAAGGACGACATTGTCTCCCGAACTGATGCTGCTCGCCGGCTTTTCTCAAGCCTTAGAAAATGTCTATAGATCCGACGCGACTCCTCTATCACGTGCACCGCGCATATGTCCGGCCAGTCCTTCTGTATTGTTGTTACTGCTGGGCTGTACGCATGGAAGCTAAGCGAAAACTGGAGGTATTTGACTACCACTGCTTGAGGACCATCCTCCGAGTGAAGTAAATCGAATTCGTCCCAAATGAGGCAGTCCGCACCCGCTGCGACAACATCGCACGGATAACCCAGGCCATACAGCAAAGACGACTGGGGTGGTTTTGGCATGTTCCTCGTCGTCCACCTCAGGAGCTCAGTGTTACCGCCCTCGATCCGCCACCGTTACCCCATTGGAGGCGTCGAAGTGGAGAGGGTCAATTCAAAACCGACTCGACACAGTTCGTCAAGACATGGAGGAGGTTCAAGACCTTAGGTATTCGGTCTCTGTCTTTTGTGATGAGAATGGGCTGAACTGTCCAGATCTGCTGCCGCGGATCGTCGCGCATTAAGAGGTACGGTTCCGTACATTATCGAGGCCGGCTAGGCTAGACATGATCGCAGCAGTACCAAGTAGATCTTGATTGTAAATTATTCAGCGTTAAGCGGCTATTTACGGACGCTCTAGATAGGAGTTTCAGGAAACACTTGGCAGCCGTATTCCGTCCTGTAATCCGTATAGATCAGTCAGCCCCACTTTCCTGGGATCGTGGCAGTGAAACATCAAACTATACCCAGAGAAGACACAGCGCAGGATCGTTACGCGACAAAGTGACAGAGTGACAAAAAGGGCTATTTAAAGAATTTTTTACCTTCGACGCTTTTATGATCAAGTTTTACTTATCTTTTCGTCTATTCTTCAGTCACTCTTCCAGACAATTGACTTCGTCAGTGAGTCTGTGCACCGCAAGAAACAACTCTGTGAGGATTTCCAGGAATTTGTGGATCTTCTGGGCGAAACGGTGCCTGGAAATTCAACGGATGACACAGAATCTTCACAGAGGTCTCCTTTATCTGGGAGTGAGACAGCATCACGTACGGCTGCGTCCCCCGAGGAAATCAGTAGTGCGCTGCAGGTGTTGGTGGATAAGCTAAGGGAGGAGAGGAACATGCGGTAAGGTCTTTGTTGAGAATGGCTTCCGAAATATGTTTTGATATATAAAAAATGAAAATAGCCACGGTCAGTTTCCTAGGATTTTTTCCTAAAATCAGATATAAATTCGCTGAACGACCCGAAGGTCTCCATTCACCTGCCCTTATCAGAGGCCTGATCGCCTGTCTCGTTGCAACTGTGCCGATTTGGCAGTTGGCTTAAATTGCATACCTTGGAAACTACTTTGTCTGACACAATTCACCATGACAAAATGAGGGTGAGAGTTTTGCGAGTGACAGATCTAGCCGCTTATTCATTTAATCGAGAAACTGTGTGGATATGGTGCTGCTATTCATAACGAGGGGACATGGACGAATTCTGTTTATCAGCAGAAACTCACAAAGTATGGTCTTTGGGGGTTTCCGAACTGCGTTCTTTTATGATTGAAATGGCCCACGTTGAAGGTAGCAAGAGGCTAATTATTTTTGTCTTATGAACTAACGTAGGTATGAGCTAGTTGAGCTGTCTGCATGTTGAGTTTGCCCAGATGTAGATGAACAAGTGAAATTTGTCAAAGTACTCGTTGTTTGTCCGAACCATGACAGCTACTTTTAGTAACGCACCCGTAAAACCCCTATGTTCATGACTTCGTCACAATGGATTTAACTGTTTTATTAAACGGTGAAATTATATTGCTCGTAAGATCCAACTTAACGTGTTATGCTTGTTTACCTTGGTCTAACTGCAATTGACCTAAATACAGTTCGGCCTGCGCTCCCGGTTAAAACCCTTATATTTGTTATGTAGAAGAAGATTATTCAACTTACTAGAAAAAATCAACTGACATAACGACCAGAAATGCGGTAGCATTCCAGATGTGCAATATTCGGTTGTTTTTTTGTTATCTAGTAGTCACGGACGCATACTATGTCGCTTGTTGGTCTAATTTCTGGACATCTTTCGAGTTATTGGAGCGTGGGCAAACGCAAGTGGACTTCGCTTAAACGGTACTTATTATCCTATCACTATCGCTTAGATTGACAACAGAATGTCTTGTTCCGGTGGATTTGCATGACTTGCCTGGCCCCAAGCATTTACAGTAGGCGGGCTAACTCATGAAATATCAACCGAAATTCCGAGATGCGTTTTAGCTTCGAAAAGATTAATTAAGCAGGGTTGTAAAGCCAATCATAATGCAGCATAAGTCTGTAATAATTCAGTCACCTCAGGATGCCGGCTTTCGATACGAACTTCTTTCCGACGGCATGCAAAAAGCACACTCTGTAAAAAAATAACTACTCAAATAGCATGCGTTTTTCTCATTGACTTTCGATACCCTTAACAATTCACTTATACTTCATGGAAAACACGCATACAAGTATTCATTCTTTTGTTCATGCGGTAGAAAATTACGTCTTTCTCCAATTTTACACTTAAAGGAATGGTATAATTCGGTTTTCAAAACATTTTCCATTGCCCGAATAATTTTGAATCCGACCTGCCGTTGCACTTGCATTCAGGGTCTCCAAACTACAAGCCGTATATTTTCTGCGTACGGAAAACCATGCATTTCTCTACGGTATTAAGAAGAGACTATATGGAGTTCATAAAATTTAGCAGTGGATTTGAGCTATATTGTTAACTTTACAATCCATATTGGCAGACACACAGACTTCACGTTCTGTGAACGGCCAGTTCACGGTATTAGAAAATCTTGCAATTAGAAACTTTTTAAAACCGAGCTACACCCTTCCTTCGAGTACAAAATCGGAGGAAGACGTCATTTTCTACCAAATGAGCAAAAGAATGAATGTTTTTACGCATGGTTTCCGTGAAATATAATTGAATTTTTAAGGGAATCTAAAACCAATGAGAAAAGGACATGCTACTTAAGTAGTCATTTTCTACAGAGTATAGTTTTTGTATGCAGCCGGAAGGAAGTTCGTTCGAAAGCTGACATCCTGAGGTAATTGAATTATTATAGAATTATGCCGCACGATGATGAGTTTTACGATCCGACTTAATTAATCTTTTCGAAACGAAAGCGCATTTCGGAATTGCGGTTGAAATTTCATGAGTTAGCCCACCTACTGTACTTCCGAAACTAACAAATGTTATTGAAATACTGTGAAAAAGCGGCATATATATACGAAGCCTGGTTGTTTATTTTACGAGGTAAGTCATCCGTAGTCCCTGCTCAATGATGCTTTCGGAGAAACTTGCAAGTGCACTGAAATCCACGAAATCGGGCCACTCAGAGACTATCGCTGTCTGTCTAAAGTGCAGGTATGGTACCCTTTCCCTTTCGTACAAGCCGCATCCGCTTAGTGATAATATGCCGTTAAATACCTGCCACAGGGTCTCGCGTGCAATGCAGGAAATGATCTCCATCCGGCAACTGCTCCAGAAACTCAGCATCGATCTGGCGAGTACTCGGCTTCAGCGTGCAAAGGTCTTCGTTCAAGTAGATCAGGACTTGGTGAGCTGGGTCTTTGCTGTACTGCTGAAACTCTGCAAGGTCGACGAATCTTCTGCAATAAGACTAACTGAAGACATCAATAAGCTTCCCGAGAACCTCGATGAGAATACCTTGCATCAAGTTAGGCCTGGTTGTTTTTATGAGAATAATTCAACTGAATGGATGGCGTTTCAGCCCGCGGCAAACTTCAGAGAGGACAAGCATACTGACCCTCTACCGAGACTGCGTTCACATGCAGACGTTGTAAATTGCTCAAATCAGCTGATTGAACGCGTCTCACAATTGGACGGGGTGATCGCAAGGTAAGCACAGGATTCACGCTTTTGCTAATGCGAGCAGACGTTGACGGGCTTCCTTAGTTTTTCCAGTTTACGTGAACTTTCGGTGAATTCAACTCATAAAAGGCATATCATGTTTTCTCCCAACACTAACTGGACAGCGTTCACCAAAACCTCTCAGTCATATGCACTTGTAAAGTATCAGTGGTGACTATGGGATTGCAGTCTCCTGCAACACGTTCATATTTAGGCTCACCAGTGTTTTCAAAGCTACCCCAGAAACGCCTTCTGCCCAAGTGATTACGAACTATACGGCTGTCTTTTGTTGACCATCAGTGAACACTTGTGTGGCAACGGTACGATAGAAATTATATTTGTGTCTGGAACACTTATTTTTTCTACAAATGAGTTACGTTTTTTAGTGGAATGCATTTATGACCTCAACCGGAAAGCATGACTATGATCTTTCAAGTCACCACGTCTGTCATAAGCCTTCTGACTGGCCATAGTGGACATCTAGGTAAAGATTTTACCTTAAGTCTTCTAGATGTGCACTTACTCACCGGGCTCTATTTCTTACGCCCCGAAACGGCACCATTTCTGGCTTATTTTTGTCACTAGCTAGTCATAGCCGAATGCCAGTTTTCATTAGCCTTTTCGATAACATAATTTAACTATTGGCCACTTACCTTACACGACCGCCTGCAGGGCCTCTCGACTGGAGCTCCGAACCAAAGCAAAATCATTCATATTTCATGTGGTAGAATATGCCCAAAGCCAACCTACAGCTTTAGGCGCAACACTGATGACATGTGCGTGAATCAGTTTATAGTGAGGCAGCAGCGGAAATTGGATATGTAAGCCCACTGAGAAAATAGAGCTCAGAGACTCTCGTAATAGGGGAGATGATGTCGGTATTAGTTTTATCAGTTGTGGCAATTAACGGAATCTGCAAAAGGCATAGGAAAGACTGGCATTTCTGCCATGTGTTTGCTTTGTTACTTTAACGAGATGCCGGAACAGACCTTAAATCTAATTTTGGCCCTAACCTCAATTATTTTCTTAATTTTGGCCGAAAACGTAATTCTAGTGTAACGCACCTAGCAAAATCAAGTAAACGGGCATGTTATGGCAATAAATACTTGGACTTACATACCTAATCGTTGCCCTGAACCGAATAAATCAATAGCCAATGGGAATCCCCTGTGGACGCTGATGTCGGGGAAAGTAGGTGCCAGGGGAGCGTGACAAGCAGCAAACCAAGAAAAAACACAAAACTACAATAATAAGGCAAAAAGGATAAAATTATCAAATTTATTGAAAATAAGGAAAAACCTAAACAGCTTTACGGAATGGATTGCGAGTCAAGCTTCGGGTATTGAATCCTAGCAAAAATGATAACATTTTAACGGAAATATCTAAAAAGTTTCGGCATGCACAGAAGAGGTATGAAAATATTCACCAGTATTAAATGGGCCCTAACCCTAACCTTACTGCTAATCCTAAGGCTAACATAACCCTAACCCTAACTTTAACCTCAGCCCTGATCCAAATACCTAACCCTAGCCCTAAAAATAGCCATAACTGAAAGTCTAATCATACGCCTAAATCCGACTCCAAGCCTAACATTCAAAGGCGGTCAATGTTCCAAACCCTTATTTAAAATACCTTAACGTTAGCCCTAACCGTAAGTCTAACCGTAAATCTAATCATAAACCTTCATTGCAAACATAATCCTAACCCTAACCCTAGATGTGGCACAAACTTAACCCTAAACCTAGTACAAACCCTTGCCCAAAACTCACTCCTGAGACGGACAATAGAACAAACCCTAACCATAACCCCAACATTAACCCCACCGCCAAATTGCTTTCTAGTCCTGATACTAACTCACACCCCAAATACGTCGATTAAACCGACAAAAGCAATCCTAACCTGACTGTGAACCTAAAGAAAAGCCTAAAGGCAACTCTTATCCTAGGCCTAAGAATAAACCTAACCCTAATCATAAAGCTAAATATAAACCTGAAGCCACCCCAGAAACCGAAGGGCAAGCCCTTAATGTTACCCTAAGCCTAGCCGCAGTCCACGAAGGTCGGGACTATAAAACTAATTTTTAACCGCCTACTGAAATCATTCATAGTACAAAACCCGGACAGCTTAGTAGAGCCCTATCCTCAATCATAATAATTCTGCCCTCCTGAAAGAGTTAGAGGTGGACTTCATCACTTTAAACTCTGGAGTCAGATAAATAGGTTATGTAAACTGTCGTAGTGTCCTTCATTTACGGTTACTAAGTCACTAATCGATTCCCCCTGCCACTGCGATCCCAATTCGATGGATGTCTGCATACTTGAGGCAGAACTACCTTTGCTACTGCTACGAACTTCTTCCTCGTGAATTCGTTTAGGCCATTCATCGAATGAAGCCGAGCATCATATCCACAAGATCTCTGAGCTCGTTCATCAATTATTTGCCAAGACTATCAACTTTCATTTCCCTTCAGGTACTCTGCTTGTTTCGTGGGGGAGAAGGAGCTCGCCGATGCGATTCAGCTCCTCCGGGACGGTGAGACGGACCTGGTTGAGTCAATGGAACAACTTGTATTTCTCACCGAACGGGAAGGGCGTATTGCAGGGGAGGTAGCCTTATTGTATCACAAAGCTCTACTGAACCTGACCAACAAATCTTAATTTTATAGGTACAGGAGGAAGAATCCGAGACCCCGGAAACTGTGGACGAAGAGGAAAACGAGGATGGCGAATTGGCGCATATTCTCGCGTCTACTTCACTAGGTCCCCAGGACACTCCTTGTCATGCTGTCATCGAGTTTGCTCAGGAGCAAATTAGGTGCCTCTTCCTGTCTGTCTCTTCCATTGTCTGTTTCCGAAGAAACCAGCTTTATTGACGCACTGTTCTATTTCAGGCAGAAGAAGACCTCCCTGGAGAACTTACAAACGAAGATTTCGACCACTCAGTTGAATATACAACAGGAAAGGCAACGACTGGATGACGTCAAGAGTCAGCTCGATAATCGTCGTAGCAAACTGCGTGAATTGACAGACATCCTTCTTGGCAAGCAGTTGACTCTCTTTGAGCAGAGCGTCTCGAATTGACGGTATGAAGTGAGAGAAGATGAAGGAGTGCGAGATGCACACACTTCATTCTCCAACGAAACTGTACGGCACCTTGTCTTTGTTAGCGTCCCTAGTTGGATGTCCGTCACGACGCGCCCATGGCTTTCGTCTCGTGCTTGCGCGTCGGCGACTGGAAGCGTGCGCATCGTATCTCACGGTCATCAAGATCGTTCACTTCTTCGCAAGCACTTACGGCGCCCATTGATTGACAAAGTGACTTAAATTTGACTCGTGCCTCGGTCTATATAGACCCTACACCTCACTGAACTTTCATTCAACAAACTTTCCTGTGCTTTACCCACAGTGCAAACTGTCCGTTCAGTTATATCTCACTGACTTCCGACTTGGAAGTGTGTCGTCGTAGTGGACATTACCCCTCAATAGCTTACCCGAACGCATTTTTCTAACCCTTAATAATTGTGCTTCAGATGGTTTGCAACATTCTTACATACATGCTGATCTGTGATACTCACCTCATATATGAACTTGAGATTCAGACTGAGCATCGTTTATCGACCGCTCAATATTTATTAGCAAGAAATACTAATCTGCAAGTTCCCAGCCGTTTAACTTGTCACAGCAGCTTAAGCCACACAGAAACCCTAGCCACTACGACCTTCAGGTTAGGTCTGGAATAACAGGAGAAGACGTTGGATGCCAGTTGTGAGAATAATATCTTCTGTGATAGAAGTGCGCTCACCGATCGTGTTACGGAACTCGCTTGTCCCGTTGGGCCTTTCGGTTCTCTCCCGAGCCCAACCATCAGTTGCAGAGCGGCGCGTACAACAGGCGGAATAACGTTACCGACGAAGACAGGGGAGACTGGAGTGGCCATTTCTAGCTCATTGGTCACCGTCAGCCAGTCATACCCAACGCCGAAGCGTCGAACATTTGGGCTCGATCCCGCGACCTATTGGTTAGAAGTCCAATGCCTCTAACCACTGAGCCACGAGCTCTTTGTTCTGTCGGTTGCGATGGGGAATATATACTAGTAGAGTGGGCGCTCACCTATCGTTCTTACGGAACTCCGTCGTTCCGTTGTGCCTTATGGGCTCTCTCTCGAGCCCAACCAGCAGCCGCACAGCGGCGCATGATATGGGCAGGATGTTATTACCGACATAGACAAGGGAGACTGGAACGGCCACTTCTGGCTTATTAGCCGTCTCGGAGTTGGATATGACTGGCTGACTAAGTGCGAAACACCTTCTATCATTGTATATTTCCGATCGAAACCGACAGGACAACGAGCCCCTGGCTCAGTGGTTAGAGGCGTTGGACTTCCAACGAACAGATCGTAAGATCGAGCCCCAGGTGTTCCACGCTTCAGGGTTGGGCATGACTGGCTGACGACGGCCAATAAACCAGAAATGGCCACTCCAGTCTACCTTGTCTTTGTCGGTATGTCGTTCTACCTATCGTGTGTTCTGTACAAAATAATTGGAGAACAGATTGGAGAGAATTGGCAGCCGAACGAGGGTACGCCCGACGCCGGGAGAGCGGCGTGTGCGTCACAGCGCCTTAAACGACAGCATGCCATGTTCGGCCTTGAAGATGATTGGCCAACTGGAAAGCTGTGAGCGGATGAAAACCAGGCTACCGCTGGCGCGCACGTGTAGGCACTTGCGAGATATGCAACATTGCAGCAGGCGCCCAGGGTAGGGCCAATGCAAATTCTCTTCTGTTAATTTGCCACCACGTACCTTGAGAAATTTCCTTCCCTTTTCGGGGCAGCAGAAAAATGACATCTATCGCAAAACTAGACAGCTACACAAATTTTATCCCAAAATCAGCTTCCTTCTGTTGTTCATGCGTCATTCTGTATACCTAGGTTATGGACTGGATAACGATAGGGTGTAGGACCCACACCTAACTTGAGCTAACCTGTGGACGGTGTCATACGTCGAATGGCGGTAGAGGGGTTTTTGTGAGTGAGGCAGCCCACGGGACGGAGAGCATGAAGACACAGAAAATAGATAAATTTCTGCCGAAAGTCTTACCTTTCGCTGTCATTTGGCAAAGAAGGTGAGCGCGATAATTAAACAAATAAACAAAAGGCAATTTTAAAAAACATGAAAGATCTTACATAAACCGCCGCTGCTGAGTTGGCATTAAGCCAGGAAGGGAGGGGAATTTCAAAAGGTTGGAACGGTGAATAATAAGTATGGTTACAATCCCACTGAATTTTAAGGCATATTTTTGGAGTTTTCATCTACTTGGAAGTTCTACACCCTATCGTTACCATGGACTGTAAGCGGTGAGTGATCAAGAGCATCACTTTTTATATATCATAGGAACTTATAGGCTTTTTGAAAAGCCTACCATTACACACAGCTGAGTGCCTTTCTTCATACGGACGTTATTCTTGCCACAACTTTCCCACAAAACTTTATTTGTTGTCTATCAGTTAAATAAATGGCTCACAGATCTGTAAAACTTTGTCTAGAATGGCATAATTCATACGACTGCTCTTCGTTTTTTTACCCCTACACTCTTAAGCAAGCAGAAAATCCGTAAGGTTCGCGTCTTATGACCTGCTTCCTAGGGTTCATATATGCACAAAGTAACATCGCTGCCGCTATGTTTATCGATTAGACCGAGGCCACTGCCCATATCTTCTAGGACTATTCAAATTCATAACATGTCAGGATATAAACAGGAAAAATCCGAGACAGATTTCTTAAAAAGGATAGTCGTCGTTGACATGCCGTCAACAGTAGCGAGTAGAGGAGGCGGTTACTCCAATGGTAACGACGCCTGCTGTAGTAGCCAGTAGTCCGAGCTGTCAACACTTGTCGTCTGGACGATTCCCGATATGCCAAGTCAGATGATGGTCAAGGATTCAGTATGCCAAGGAACCGACAACATTCCAGACAATGTCCTAAACGTTTGGAGAGGGTGGGCGCGCCCTGACGTGTCATTGTCAAGTCCCTACTAGCCTTGAAGTTAATTGGCCGGTTTGGGTAGCCGTGATTGTCCGAATGTCACCCAGAGTCTTGTGGCGTCGCGGCTTGACCGGATGCGCCCAGGTCATCATATAGAGGCTCATGCTGTCAGACGGATGAACTGCGCTGGTCCAAACGTGCACTTCACCATACAGATGTAAGTTCGTTTTGGACGCCGAAATCAGTGCCACCAAAGTACCTTCCTTCACGTTTAAACACTTCGGTTCGACTTTAGTAACTAAGTAGCCCGACAAATTGTACACCACAGTCAATCGCGACCGACACAACAGGCATCGATATATGTCTGTCAAGTGCCCCGGAAGGGTTGCGGCTAAGCAACCACTTATTTGTTCTTCCTAAGTACCTTTAGGGACAGGAAACCCTTGCTTTCGGCCTAGTGTATGTGTACGCGTATAATGGGATTGGTAGTCGTCTATCAGACAAAAACTCCAAAACAGACTAGTTAATATCTAGGTATTTCATCGAGGAGGTACTAGCTAGTAGTGTCCAAAGTTTTCTCAGTGAAACATGCTGCCCAAACTAGAATCTGTTAGCACTTTGATTCGTACCTTTACGTGTTTTCACCTCGCCTTCACGTATGCCGCCAAGGATCAGCAGCTTTCATAGATGTATTTTGCATAATACCGATGTGGCTGTTAAGTACGTGTTAGTCCTCCCAGAGGCCTGCGTCACGAAGTACTCAGAATGTGAAATTTTGTTATATCCCGAGCTTAATGCGACAGTCGTCGGGCTTAAATGGTGATAATACTCTCTCGCTGCAAAACACAACAATTTGTTGAAGTGGGATGATCGGAAGGCGGGCAAGGCGGCTAGATGAACAAGTTTTCACTGAGGCGATGCAGCATATACGCAGCTCAGCAAACACCTGGAGCAAGCGTTCTCACCAGGCCAGTGTCAGTCGAAGTTCATGCGTGGGAACTTCGCCCGGCCGCTGTCAGTCGGCGAAGAGATAAATATCGATCGGCGTCAGCACGTCGCAAGTGGGAATTTGAGTCACGTGTGTTGAACGGACTGAATGCGACATGGTTCCGCGGCGGAGTTTACGTCCATGAGCATGGGCAGCTACGACTGCTCTGTGGCCGCACGTCCTTTCCTGATTATCGGATTTCATCTTGGGACATGGATTATGAGCGTCCATCGGGCTTCTTTGTTTTCTTTCGTAGTGCAGAATCTGGGTAATAAGGTTTCATATAAACAACCAAGAGGATGCTCAAAAATACCCGCTATCTAGCATATGTACACTGAACAGATTTAACAGATGATATTCTTTCATCGTGTATACTGGGAAATTCAGAAATGGTAACTTCTGAAAAGTCGAAATGGTCTGCTGGAGAGAGTTTCTTTTGTAACACGGGCTGGGTCATCGATATGCCAGTCTTCATCAGTCGAACAATTACGTGGGAACTGAAGTGCATAGAGGGATGCTTTCGTCATATTTTGCCTGAATGTACATGCATTTCACCCAGATTGTCCATGAACTAAGTCGGTAACACGAACTCTGTAGGCAGCTTTCTGAAATTAATTATAGCACTTTGTTACGTTGAAAGCATATTGGGGGAGATCAAGGCATCATTTGTAACCATCCTAAGCACTGCACTTGCTTCGATGACCAGTTGTTTGACCCTCATCGTGCATTCTCTGCTCGTCATGCAAGTTCTCGGTTTTCCTTACAACACAAATTAACATTTTGCCAAATAAATTGGGGTCCTTGACGGGCAATCAAGTTCTATTGAGGTCATCTGGTTAACGCATTGGCATACTTGAACCCTTGTGTTTATGCGTTATCGAACGGTAATAAGAATTTGTCCTCTACGACTGTAGGCGACGGTTCTGGGTCAAAACACTTCTGTAAGCCAGGGGCAGTTTGTAATATTGTTAGACTTAGAAGACTGAAAAACGCCTAAAACTGGATACCCGTATCCCTTGGTAGTGACACGTTATCCCACACTACCAATGCCAATGCGTGCTGCCTGGGAGGATCGATAAATTTGCAGCACAAGCCCTGGAATGACGCTT